AAACCCTGGGACAAATGGCTAACTGTGGTGCCTATTAGCATACCAAGGCACACACTGGTTAAGTCTGTGCCTGTGACTCCTCAGCATCCCCTACCCCGAAGTCTTGGGTTTCTCTTCTCCCAGCTTCTCATTCCTATATAACCTTGCCATTTTGGCCATGTGACCTCTTTGCCCCACCCCCACCCCATTGCTGGCTCCAGTCTACTGGCCATGTTCAGTCTACTGTTCTCTCTACTCTGGACTCTTCTAGATGCCTCTGGCTGTTCTCTCTCTCACATCTAGAATAAAAACCTCTTCAACCATACCATGGAGTGGTCATGTCCTCATTTCATTCAGTGAAATGTGTATCATTTAATGTAACTAATATAAAAAGGAAATAATTGTGGAGTTGTATACACCTATAGGTCAAATTGCCAACAGAAAATGAACTGGGATAGTAGATGGTGATAAAACTCATTAATTGCCTTGATTACCTACAGCAAACTCAGCTAGATTTAGTACTTCCCATCTGATACCATGTGGCTGTAGATGGCTATTTAGCTGGAGTGCCCAAATTATCAAGGACACATCCTTGTCACCTCTGCCACCAGTGTGGCCTGCTCCTCCTGAGGCCATCTTCAGAGGTTTCCATCGAGTCCCAGGACCATCCACCACACACTCAACAGTGGGCACCCCTTCTCTCCACTGGCCAGGTTAGTTAGCAAGAGGGGCCTGGAAACTACTTCCAGGACCAGGTTCAAGAAACCCTGACACCTCTGAACAATGATACTCTGCCAAGGTACCAGTCACTTGTCAGAACTTTCTTCTTGCCAACCACTTGAGCAGGTTAAGGCACTTCCCACCAAGCCCAATGACTTTCACTTGACCCCAAGGCTTGCTGGATGTCTGAGCATACATACACCAACTAGAAATGTAAAATACTTGCTTATGCAGGGATAGAATCCGATTTTTGCTTTCTTCTATTTTGTCTTCTCTCACACAAATGCAGGTGTGTTTAGGTGTGGGTTAAACCCATTCTGTGGGTCTTCCTAAGAAATCCTGCAACACTGTTCTCATTGTGCCGGTATCATGTCCAGGCTAGCCTCAAGCCACCCTATTGGAGTCCCGGGTGGTTGCTCCATTATTTTTAAAGACACTGTTTCTTTGTGTATCCCAGGCTGTACTGGAACTCACCCTGTAGACCAGGTTGGCTTTGCTGGGCATTAATGGCCTGCACTGCCACAACCCACGTAAGTTTTTAATTACTGATTTCTCCTTCCACCTGAGATTGAACTCAGCTAGGTCAGGCTTGCCAGCAAGCATCTTTAGCCAGAGCCTTCCACTAGTGCCTAATTTCATTTTTTTTTTTTTTTTTTTGGGGGGGTTTTGAGACAGGGTTTCTCTGTATAGCTTTGCCCCTTTCCTGGATCTCACTCTGTAGACCAGGCTGGCCTCGAACTCACAGAGATCCACCTGTATCTGCCTCCCGGGAGTGCTGGGATTAAAGGCGTGCGCCACCACCGCCCGGTTCCCTTTTTCAATGAATACCCACAACTAAAATGAACTTGCTTGGGCTTCAAGATTGTCACTGCTTTAATTCCAGTTTATTGTCCGTTCTGTTCTGTCCATCCTGAGCCCACCACTCTTCAGAAACGGGGTGGGAGAGAGGAAAGCAGACACCCCACCCTGCAGCCCCAGCTGCAGTTTTATTTTCCAAACCATTTTATTGAAATGTGCCAAGATACATGGGCAGCACAAATGTATGAACAGGGGAAAAAAAAAAATCACACATACAGTTATCTTAAAAAGTGAAGGTTAATCTTGGGAGATACCAGTTCCCCTCCCCCCCTCCAGAGTTCCAGAATTTCCATTGTGGTTAAGCGTCTACTGACCTAGCATTTAAAAAGGAAACAAAAACTGCAAAAATAAATCAAAACAGAACAAAACCAGAGAAAACCAACAGCATAAAGGAAAGACGTTTTCCCGCTCGGCCGTGCTCTTGCCGGCATCTAATTAGGAGGCGTGCTGCGCGGTGGAGAAGCACAACTTCAGAGTGTACGGGTACGGGCCGTCTGCACACAAGAGGAGGACAGCGGTCAGCGGGGATCGCCTCCCGGAAAGTTATCCCTGCCCGCCAGCCCGCCCGCACCCACACACCCTCTCCTGCAGGTCAATTACAGGGACCTAAGTCGTCACATCGGGCAGGCCCGAGTAACTCCCAAGCTCTCAGGTGGGTGGAACCAAGCAGCCTGGCTGGCCTCCCAGGAGAATGTCATCAGACTGCTCTCCTGGTGACCAAGTCCCATCTGCCTGTGTCTGCGACAAAGGCAGTCTCTAGGGTCCTATCTTGCGGGCAGGAAGGCTCTGGCACGCAGCCAGACAAGCCACCAGGGGTATTCTGTAGGACACACAAGACACTCACTTGGGTTTTTCATCTGGTAATGGTTCAGGAAGCCCAAGGTCTCCAGGGCATCGCTCTTAGAGTCCCACTCCAGCAGCCCAGAGGAGCTGCGCTCACCTGGAGAAAAGCAAGAGACAGCCACAAGCTTAGGCTGAGCCAGCAGAGCTAAGTCTCCTCCCACCACCACCCAGAGGCAGAGGCAGAGGCCGGGGAAGAACGTGGCACAGGGACTCACTTTTGCCTGAAAATACTTTCACAGAGGTTGGCCGCTTCACTCCCAGCTCATCGCAGATCTGGGGCAGAAAGATAATAAAAGAATTCAGAAACCAAGGCCTGCCTATGTGAGCCTTCGCCAGAGCAGGTCCAGCAGTATGTGGTGTTCTCTGAAGACAGCGTGGGTCACAAACTGAGGCGCCCTACCGTCCTGTCACTTGAAGTTAGAAACCCCTCTCTCGCGTGAGGCAGCACAAGGGGGAAGTGCTTCTCCAACTCCCATCCTGGCAGCCCCGCAGGCATGCGTGACATTAAATGAGTGTCACTCGCTTGTGGCCCCTTGCCCTACGTCCCTGACAGATCAGGCTCTCGCAAACTTCACCCTCTAGAGTCATCTAGACACCCCAGGCCTGATGACCCGTGTTGACTCCGCTCTTGGTAAATCACCAGTCACCACTCTTGTTCAAGATGTCAAAGGGCACAGTGTACAGAACTGTACCGTGCATGCTTCTGCTCTCACCTGCCCCAGCTAGGAGCAGGGGAACCTGTCTGTTTTGGTCTTTTCTGTGTCCCCAAACCCAGGGACCAGTGAGTGGCATTGGGAGTCTGATGATTACTTATAGAGCAGAATGAGCCCAACTCAAGGACAGCACCCCGACAGGCAGTGCCACACCACCTACCTCAAAGAAGTTCTCCTCAGTCACCTCCAGTGGAGCATTGAAGAAGTGCAGTACATTGCTAGGGTGCTGGATGCGGTTC